AATTGGGTATAGCACACATTTACAGTCCATATTGATCATCTTATTTATTGGCTCCATGTATTTAGTTGAAATCTTCATCTTTCCATAGTTGAACAATAGTGGCTGGCTTAGGTCTCCCTCAGTGTAGAGAATCTCCCCCCATAAATTCCCAATCCTATGTAAATTGATTCTATTCCACAAGTTTAAAGGGATTCCATAGCAACTTAACCACACACACCGTTCTTATTCTAGCACTTTCCTTGCTTCCCCTGTGACTACCTCTTCACACCAGTCCCCACACATCTCCTTTACATCCTTCATTTTTAATTTCATCTCCTCTTTTGAATTGAAAGATAATATCAGGTCTCGTCCTCCACCCTTCCTCACCACAACTTCCTTCATGCCTCTAGCTTCAAGCTCCATCTTCATATTCACAGTGGCATACTTCGCTTTCAAACGTAGAATCAGACTCTCATATAACCATCCATTGCCTATTTCCTCTGACTTTACTATAATAGCCCCCATTCCACCAGTATTCTCCCCCTTTACTACTTGCACATACGATCTCTGCCCCATGAACTGATTCATTCCTTTACTTGAGTCACATCATTGTGGCCTTTGTAATCCTTGACTCTTTGCCTGTGGTTTCGTATAGCCTTTCTCTTGCCCCTCCCTACCAAAGTCAGCATTTTTTACCACTAGGACCTTGTCATCCACCCACAAACCATTAGTTTTTTGCACTGTAACACTTACTGTTACTTGATAGCCAAATCTGGAAGCAATTATTCTTTTTCTCTTTTGTGGAATGAAGACATCATTCACCACTCCAAACTTCTTAAACAGGTTGTACAAACCCTTAGGATCCATACTTTGTGGTAGTTTATCCACAAACAGTGTGTAAATACCTGGATGATTATCTTTTCTCCTTGATCCTTGTCCCCCTCTTCGCTTCACAATGGGGATCCAACCTCCTCGATCCATTTGATGTTGATGATGATGGTGAGTTTTGCTAGGATAGATTGAAGTTTTGGAGGGAGGATGAAGAATAAGAAGAAGAAGAAATAACTTTTCAATAGGTCTTGTTTGTTGATTGCTTTGAAAAACAACTCACAACATTATGATCTTCTAGAAGGTATATTGTTATATATAGAACAGCTACCTAAGCAAAAGGTAAGTAACCTTATCCATAAACCATAATCACCATTGCCTTCTTCTCCAAGCTCTCTACTAACTTGATTGTCAGAGGACTATTGAAAAAGGACACCATTGTGCATCCAAGGGTTTGATTTGCATGAGCAAATGTCGTTGAACATCCAATACAACACTTTGACATCCTGTCCATAAGCCACCTAGTTACTGATATTGTTAATAATAATGATAAAAAATAAACCATATGATGATGTATATAAAAACTAATTAGTAGAGGCATGTGTAAACATTGTCCTTAAGAGTATGCCCCTTTAAATCTTGACCTAGCGTAATAAGGTCTTGCAAATTACTGTTTAGGATTCAATTGTTTCTTCTCTGCAAACATCTACACTAAAATATAGAGGTGCCACTCACTCAAACAAAGGAGAGATTAGGGCATAATGTTGATAGAGAATCTGCTTATGAATCGCATGATCAAGTGTGAGCCATTTTTATGGTTTTCCATAGCAAAAGGAAAGATTCACTAGGCTATCCAATCAATTATCAAAAAATTGTTACAAGATCTAAGTCGTTGGGTGTGACGCCTCAAAAATCGAGAATATCAAGAAATATATTACCAATAAATACATGGTTTAACTAAGGTTACAAGTGTAGGAAGCATCACTAATGAGTCCTTTGGTTAATAACCAAATAAGATTCTAAGAAGGTCGAAGGAGTCAATATAGACCTTCAAAGTCCAAAATTACCTTTTTGACAGATCTCAACAAGGTATTAACAGAAAGTCTACATGAGTTGACAAGAAAATAAGGAATAGGTAATTCAAAAGATATGTATAGATATATAATAATTACAAAATCATGTCTTAAATAAAATAAAAGATTTATCACTTACAAACTCAAAACATGATTACAAAATTAGTTTCTAATTCTCCTAGGATAGTCATATATCTTCAAATGTTTCAGTTTTGACTTCGACCAGCTAATAGTCTTTAATACGTGACATGAAATGCCATGAGCATTGAATGCCCAGTAAACGCACACACACCCCATTCTTTTTTTCCAACCCAATACACAATAATGGCATAATCATAATATATAACAGAAGTAATAACCAAGCAAAGCTTATAATAAATTTTAGTCTTTCAAGAATAACTTTCAATCAAGTTAGTTCTAGGCACCTCTCCACGGAATATCGTTCCTATCTAACACTCCAAGCTTGGCTTTATTAGGCAAACTTGTATCCTTTCCTGCTCACCATTCCAGATGTCCACTCCTAGGGTTATATACCTAGGTCGTGTCATCTTGGAATACAGGATAGTCATAACCTATCACGACCGCAAGAATTCTCATTTGTGTTCTGGTTTGCCACATGAATTCTCATCTGGGCTACAAGCATTCTCATTTGTGTTCTGCAAGACCGCCGCACGAATGACACAAGGGTCCGCATTCTAAACCTAAGCCAACTTGAGTATCACAACACAACTCTTTCAAGACTTTTATATTCGATTAGGGAATGCATCCCGTCAATCCATACAACATTATCTCATAAAATTATTCAAGTAATCGAAAATCCAATACCACCCCATTTAGTTTCCCCTTTAGTTAGATGTTTTAAGTTAAAATTAGAAGAACTTATCATGATAATAATTTCTATATAAGCATGAGCATCATCAAAGGACTATGAAAAGGAACATAACCATAATAAATGCAAATATCATGCCAATATATGAACAAGTGATCATAAGCACATTCATGAAATTAAGAACATAAATTCATCAACAAAAGTAAAATTTCAGATTTGGTGCACTTTAGAGATTGCAATTAAAAAGACATTTTTAGATTTTTCCTAAACTTGGCCTTCCTATGGTTTGTAGAGAATTTTATCTAATTTTCAGAACATTTTTCAAAAGTGTCATAGTTTTCTTAGAGTTTTAGTTATTTAAGAAATACTCCAGCGCTCTCCAAATTTGTCAACTGTTACGAAAATCGAATTTTCTCTTAAACTGCTCACTCTTTTTTGATAAAAAAAAAATTTCCATGAAAGCTAACACTTAAAAGGAAGGTTTTGACGTCAAAATGAGGTTAAGAAGATTTTTCTGCATTTTTTTAGAATTTTTGCCAGTGAGATGTAAATATCGGTTCTTTAAACACAAAGCTTGAAATAAGAGAAAAAGTAAAAAAGAAGGGTAACCATGGATAAATTTTCATTTCTATTGTGATGAAAATATACTAAATAATATATATTAAACTCAAAGATTGGATTGAAAGTGTGCCTTTAGAAATTATGTGAGATAAGTGTAGAAAAAGATAGTTTTGCATCGATTAAGGGAAAACAAAAGTAAGGGTGGAACAAGACTCAACTCTTTTTCATTTTTAACACAATAATACCATTCAAACACATCTGAAATTAATGTTTAGATCCTCTAAGACATGTATTTGAAAGAGGAAAATAAAATAGAGGGTTGTGCTGTGGCTTACTTGTTGCGTAGTTAGGATGTTTGCACAATTTCTTCCCTTTTTTCTCTCCTCCACCACCAAAGCTCTCTCTTCCTCTCTTTTCTCTCCCTCAACCGAATATGTAGTGTGTGAGTGTGTATATGTGTGCCAAATATCCAAGAGAGGTGATCTATTTATAGGGAAAATGTGGTGAAATGTTCAAAATGCCCTTTGATTGGATGGAATGGAATTGAGTTGAATTTAGTTGGAATGTAATGAAATGAGGGATGATTAGGACTTAATTATGTACTATATATAGAGGGTCTTTGTTGAAATAATTCAAAATTAAGGGTCTAAATAAAATTACAAGGGTCAAGGGCTTCATAGTTAAATAATTAATATTAGAGTATAGAAACTATTACTAAGCTATCATGGTCGATTAGGGTTTGTATGGATTCGTTCCCGATGTGTCTTTGGTTTTAGGGTTAAATTTGCGAATAAACGAGGGTTTTATTATAATAACTCAAAAGTCAAGGACTTAATAGGGCTTACAAAAGTTAGGAGCCTCACATGGGGTAGCATGAAGGAGTGAGAATTAAAATATTTAATCATCAATTTACCCTTTCAAGTTTGAACTCATGACTTTCTATATGAGGGTCATAAATTCTAGCCAACTGAGATAACCTAATTGGTTCTTGAGATTCTATGCTTTTAGCATTTTCCTATTGTTATTGACAGTCCATTGAGCTGGCATTAGCATGACTCTTTACATAAAGGTTGTCCTGCTTTTTTCTCTCCACATTCTGGATATTACATTATTGGATATTCTACAAATGTAGTGAGACAACAATAATATACTCTAATCACATGATCTTGACTTCAATTTTCTTCTTTTGAGAATTTCACCATATCATGTAGTTAGAAGAGCATTAATGATAAGGTATAAAGATTTTAGGATGAGAGATTCCTTTAGTTTTTAACCAACAAAGAAAATTATTTATTAAAATAAAAATAGAATCTTTCATCTTGGGTTCATGTATGTTTCCCATACCCCAAAAGAAGACAACACTCCCTCTTTACAAGGCTACAGCAATAATTAGAGGAACTCAACATACAATCTGGACACACACAATATAGCAAAATTGGAACACTTTGACTGTTTTAAAATTATCTAGGCTTTCTTTTAAATTCACATAAGGGAGAAAAGAAGGGAAGGGAGGGGAGGGAGGTGGAGGGAGAGAGAGAGAGAGAGAGGGAATTATTAGAAATATTTTTCTAATTCAAAACATAACTTTGTTTAACCTTCCTAAAATCTAATTGTATTTAAAGCATTTATCCTTATGGGTTAATTTTCTACAATATATTTTAAAACTTCTGATTTTCACCATTGATGTTAGCATAACATAAAATGAAAATCTATAAACTTGCTAATGCTAGGTCAAGTACCCAGCACCAGGTGCACCACAATTGGGACTAAGAGTGAAGGAGTTGTTGATCAAGTCTGGCTTTGAGACTGTTGATGAAGATGGAGATCGAGGGCTTGATCATGCTGCTTGGTTTCCACTAATGCTCATGTATCCAGAGGCAGATATCCCAGTATGTGAACTTTCAGTGCAGTCATCCAAGGATGGGACTCATCACTACCACGTAGGCAAAGCATTGTCCCCTCTCAGGGAAGAAGGAGTTCTCATAATTGGGTCAGGTGGAGCTACAAATAACGTGGCAGCCATTCCTCAAGAGGAGGGAGAAGTTTTGCCTTGGGCTCTCCATTTTAATAACTGGCTCAAGGATTCTCTTCTCAGTGGCAGGTATATGCATAATTTTATTTATTTATTTATTTATTTTGCAAAAGTAAAATTTTGTTGGGTCATTTTTTGATAAATTTTCTTTTGAAGTGTTTTATTCCATCTAATCAATATTCTCTTTGAGTATTCCATTAGGTCCTGTTAAATGTAATATGACCAAATCATCCTTTCTAATTTTTTGCACATGTTTCTATTTTAAAATTAATACATGACAATACTTCCTCATTTTATGGAGAAAATTTCTTCTTCAATCCAAAAAGAAAATCTCTCTCTTATTCTAAGGAAAAAATCTCTCCCACATTCCATAGAGAAAATCTTAAATTATGAACTTTGAATTTTATAATTTTAAAATTTTAAAAATAGCGCAACAAAAAATCTAAATAAAAGTCAAAATACATTGTGAATGGTCATAGTAAACAACAAATATACAACTAACTTCTAAAAAAACAAAACACATACTAAAATATAATGTGAATGTTCACAATAAACGAACAAACATACAACTAACATTCGAAAAAATAAAATTCATACCAAAATACAATGTGAATATTCACAATTTATAATTAACATACAACTAGTCTTTAAAAAAAATAACTCATACTCATTTAAACATTTACACTATAACGTGAAAATATAAAACCAAATTGAAAACAGTAAAAATCATTTATTTCAATTGTACAATGGTAACAAAAATAATTGTTCAACTAACAAGCATAGTAACAAAAAAAACAAACATGCAATTAACTTTCAAAAAAACAAAATTTATACCAAAATACAATATAAATGTTCACAATTTACAATTAATATATAACTAGTTTAAAAAAAAAGTTAATTATAAACTCATACTAATGTAAACATTCACACTACAACGTGAAAATATAAAATAAAATTGAAAAAAAGTGAAAATCGACTATTTTGATTATTCAATAGTAACAAAAGTGATTGCTTAACCAACAAAAAAAAAAAAAAAACACAAAACACAAAACACAACTAACTTTCAAAAAAATCTCGAAAAACAACTCATACCAAAATACAATATGAATATTCACAATTTACAATTAATATACAACTAACCTTAGAAACTAAATTCATACCAATATGAGCATTCACACTGCAACATGAAACAAAATTAAAAGAAAAAAAAAAAAGACTATTTCAATTGTTTAATGGTAACAAAAAATTATTGTTCAAACAACAAGTATATAGTAACAAATAACTAATAATATGTGAATATTCAAATCTTGCAAATTATATAATTATGCCCATATCTATATTCCAATATTTATTTCTCAGACTTTCAAACAATGTGAAATGTGAACATTCACACCAATTAACAAAAAAAAAATAAAAATTAGAAACAAGGCAACAATAGATTTAGAAAAAAAAAAAAAAAAACTCATCATTCTAAAAACCAATATATATATATATATATATATATATCACCCACTTCCTCATCTTCATCATCATCTTTATCATTATCACTATCATTAACAATCTATGCAATTTTATCATTCCACCAATTTAAATCAAACCAAACTCACATTTGGAGAATATGTTTGTAACAAAATTAACTGGAAATAAACAAAGTTTCGACCTACAATAATGGAGAAATATAGAGTTTCGAACACAAAACAACAATGGACAAATACAAAACTTCAAACACAAAAGTGACAATGGAGAACACAAAACTTCACCTTAATAATGGAGAAATATAATATTATTTCACCACAATGTATAAACTAGAGTTTCTAAACCCTACCAAATAGAGAGTTTCAAAACCCTGGCACAATGAAACAATACCACAAAGGTGAATGAAACTGATCAAAAGGAAAAACGTGAATAATGGTAACTACCAAAATAGAGGTAGTAACAAAAAAAGAAATGTGTATATCATTTTTCTATGTAATACATATCAACAATAGACATAAGGGTATAACAGTCCAACAAACAACATAAATAAGGAAAAAAAAGACATCGTGGAATAAAAGTATAAATACATAGAACTACTTAGGTTATAATTTTCCTTAGTGGACTTATTAGACTAAAACACTTCTAAATGTGTGACACCCCAAAAATCGGAAACATCAAGGAATATATTAAACAAATAAATATACAATTTATCTAAGGTTAAAAGAGAAAGAAATATCACTAATGAATCCTTTGATTAAGAACTAAGATCGATCCCGGGAAGATCAGACGAGTCAATATAGCCTCCCTTCTAAGTCTAACTATAATGTCTCAAATTTTTTGCCCAAATAATAATACAACAATCATGGCTCTTTCAAGGAAAACCAAAATATAAATCTCCAAATTTACATTACTTGATATAATAGTTCTTAATGCAACAATACATTAATCCAACAATAAGTAAATAAACAAATAAATACCCCCAAGGGGTTTACGAGTTTCCAAGGCTTGAGCCTGGTTACACAAAACGGTTATTCAAACCCACACACATACAACCCTTGGCTTACACATAGAGTCATAGCAAAATGAGAGTCTCGTACTCTCAACACACATTTCCTCGCCTCTAATTAGGCGGCATCACCACATCTTTTCCTGCACAAAAATCCCGTAGGGTGAGCATAAAACACAGTACGAAATCCTTAACAAAATATATATATTTTATACAAGTCTCAATAGATGAAATGCATATGCCATGCTATGCACTTTTGAAAGAAAATCGCATCTTCATCTTTGAAAACCATCATGCTCAATGATGTCATGCAATTTCAATTCTTTAAAACTTAACAATTCATTTCAAGAGTGGTAGATACGACTCTGGTAATCCCTAGGTCAGTGTCTGCAAGTAGACTATACAAGTACTACCAATTTGTCATTTTTACTAGTATTAACCGGAAGGCTCGACACCTATCCGCGCGGATTTTCATTCTTTCACCCCGGATTCTCAGGCCAACTTATTCAATATCATCTATACCACCTATCAAGGCTTACCAACGTATTTATCCCAAAACCATTCCATGAAAACTTGTTTGTCAACATTTTTTTCTCAATGCAAGTTTTCAAATCAACTTTCAAAGTTTAATGTAATCAAATGAATTGATATGCCAATAACACGAGATGAATATAAATACTTTTATTCCAATTCATCATCTAAGGAATAACACAATTTTCTCTTCTTAAGTATTCTCAACAATTAGTTATTTCAAGACTATTTTAACGTTTTGAACAATAATTTCCAAATGAACAACAATTTTCATATTCCCTGAAATTCGTCATTTATATAAATATAAATAAGAAATTTTCCAAATATTCATTTGTTTTGACACACAAAATAAATATAACAATATCATTCAAGGATTTTCAGTCTCTTTTAAAAAAATTCCTAAATTTTAAGTTTTCTCACAAAAACTATACAACTCAAATCTTTTGAAAGAAAACTTTCCAAAGTCATCTTTTCTTTAATCAACGAAGATCAAAACCCATAGGATCATTTTAAAAGAAACAAGAGACAAACCCACTTTCAAAATCATTCAATTTCTTGAATCAACAATCAATTTTCAAAGCGATCGAAAGATGATTTCAAAAATCATCTAGATCTTGCAAAAATATATATAACTCTAAGAAAATCCATACCTCAAGTTTTGAAGAAGAAATGAGATGAAACCCCCAAAATCAACGGTGTCGAAACTCAATTTTCATCGCACACAACGAAGCCCTCGAGAAGTTAACCAATTTTGATGAAAAACCTATAGCAAAGCTCTAATGGATCTTGAGAAATCCAGGTTTTGATCCAATTTGGCGTAGGAAAATATAGAGAGAAGGGAGAGGAAATGGTTTTTAGAGAGATATATATATATATATACAAAAGTGATCAAAAATATCAGATTCACGAACTGATATAACATGGTCTGCTTGAGCGTGGAAAGCCCCGCTCGAGCGTCAAATACACTTTCCCAATACTTTTGCAGATAGGTCAAACTTCTGGAACCAAACATTCTCTGCTCGAGTGCATAAACGGCCGCTCGAGCGGACAAGCAACTTCGAATGCATTTTGCATTTTTGCTTCAAGGGCGCTGCCCCTCGGCCCCGCCAAGGCGCTGCCCTCGAACCTGCCAAGGGGCGCTGCCCCCTAGACCCCCACGAGCTGACCGGACAGCTCGATCCCCGACGTACCCAGTCGAAGTGGCAAAATATGAAAGAAGGGACGAAACTGGGATCGCTACACAAACCACCTTAGATAGCAAAGTTACATTTTTTTATAGATCTTGACAAAGTATTAATACAAGGTCTACATGAGTTGACAAAGTATAAAGATAGGTTACAATTGATATATATAATAATTACAAAATCATGTCTCAAATACAACAAGGGATTTATCACTTACAATCTCAAAACATGTTTACAAAACTAGTTTCTAAATCTCCTCTGGTAGCCATACGTCCTCAAATACTTCAGTTTTTCCTTTGACCGGTCTAATAGTCTTCAATACCTGGCATGAAACATTATGAGATTTGAATATCCAGTAAATGCACACACACCCCATCCCTTTTTCCTAATCGAATACACCAGCATAATTATAACAAGCAAGTAATAACCATGATAATCATTCAATAACAAATGATTACAAGGTTAGATGTTAATAATCTAGAAATCCCCCAAAGAGATTTCATCTTCCTAACTACAAGAATTGAACTCGGATTATTCGGTATGCCCCCTCTTTTGTTGCTTTGCAGACCTTGCCTCGGATGCCTACCAACGGTTACATACCGCATAGCGTCAACTGAGGACCTCAAAAGAGACGGTAAAAATAAGGGCCTTACCCATAACCTCCTTTATCCTTATCCATCATAAACACCTAGGGGTCCGAATACAACTGATCCATTCAAGGGTTCTGATACAATCACTTGCGCAAGACTTTACTTCAAATAGGGAACACATCCCACCATCAATTTATCACAACATTTTCCCATAATATAATTCAAGTGATCGAAACTCAATTACCAAATATTTTAAGTTAAGGTTAGAACAATTTATTAAGA